CCAAGAAAAGATAGGAAATAGTGAAGCGCCATGATTGCCCAAACCCTGAAGAGGGGCGGTACATAAAAGAAGAATGGGTTTATCTTTACTGGTTGCATTATAGATTTAATTGAATAAGGTTACGAAATAGACCACTATTTAACCCAATGCTTAGTACAAATCTTTTCGCCAATGTAACAAGCTAGATCCACTTCTGGTACTCCATAAATTTTACCCGGTGCCAGACTAATATAAGATGTAATGTTTCCTTGGAAGTTTACTTGTTATAATAAGAGAGGTACTCTAAACATATGACCTTGTATCAGACAAAAATAAGATTGATAAATATATTTTATTCTTTTTTTACCTTTTTCATTGATTTCTTTTTATTTCATCCATATTCTTAGTGTTTTCTATATTGTGTCGTATTTTCATTTCTACTCTTTTCGATTTTTTTCATCGTATATCTTTAAAAAATATATTTTCCATTAATGCATTTTCTTTATACATGATGGCACTGACTAATATAATTAATAAAAGAAAGGAGGATGACAGTATTACCCTCTCACTTCCATGTTGCATCAAATTTCTTCCCATTTTAAACATTTTTCAATTTTCCCCCACCCCGTCACTTAAAAATTACGTTTTCCGCTCGACTTTGTCTTTTTCTAAATTTTCCATTTCTGTCACCATATAAATCACAATTTTTCCTGATATCAGAGCGCAAATGAAATTAGCGGTAAAAATAACCATTTTTATTTGGTCTTTATTGAAAGATATGCGAATACTTTCTGTCATTTCCTTTCATCTTTTTCTTCTCCGTCATCTTTTTACCGTCGGCTTTTTTTATTACCTCACTTTTAAATTTCTTCTTCTTCTTCTTCTTCTTTAACTCTAAATTTCTCCTTTCCCACCTGTCTTTTTTTTACAACGTCGCTTTCCACCTTACGGCTGTATTTTAACGCTTAGCCACTTCTCACCATATTTTACAACTTGGCATGTTTATACTCTCTCTCACTGTTTTCTGTTGTTTCTTCCTTGAACTAAATTTACTGCTTCTCAAATACTTCCCGTTCATTTCAGTGCTTTCGCTGCTGAGATTGGAATAAACTTAGTTGGTTAGAATGAAAATGATAATGAAAACGTCCCAGCAGGTCTTTCTATAAAAAAAATCCTATCACTTACACCTAAAAAAGACAAGAAAGCAGTAAGCATACCCAGATAGGATTTGTTCTGTCAAAACTGGCAATGGATATAGTAGTTATGTTGAAGCTCTTGGCTTATCTGATACAGTAATTGGAAAGGACAAAACTAATAGTGGCATATTTTACATAATGTTCTTCATATGAGAAGACAATGATCAAGTTAGCTAGTGAATGCCCAAAATACCGGGGACGGTGACTTTACGATTTTCCTGGTTCATTAATACGATTTAATGCATGTAATCACAGTTCACCTAATCTCTCTTAATCTGTCACTTAATCTTAATTATAAAATTTTAATGTATGTATTAAAAGTATTTCGAATGTTGACCCTTCGAGAATGCAACCCAGGTGCGATACACCCTGTGCTTGGCTTCTCACAGATGTGATTTATCGATAATATCGTCTTGATCATTTTTGGGAAGTACCCCAAAATCGTTCTACGTATTGATCCAAGCATTGTGTTTCGAGTAGGGTAGCCCAAAATATTCTGAAGCCATCGATACTTGTGCTAGCAGGAAGTCACCCGCCACCGTGACTAAAGATTTAAACAGAGTGTCCGTGTGCACTTAATGATACCCAAGAATTTGTAAGCTGTTCTCAACTAATTTGTAATAACAAACAAACAAACAAACAAACAAACAAACAAACAAACAAAAAAAACAAAAACAAAACGATTGATTCTGTGGTTATTGACGTGTGTGTGTGTGTGTGTTTGTTTGGTCGTGTGTCTGTAAATGGTCACCTAATCATTTCCGTGAACATCTCTCCGCTACCCAAATCCCTGTCACAGACGCCTGCTCAGGGACATTCGTGTTACACTTACACAAACCACTTGTGGCGTGATTGAACTATTTCACTAGCATAAGTTCCAAGTACATTCGGAAGCTGTCGTTTGCTAGAGTGAACTGCCTAAACTGTTTTTATTGAATTTGTCTTGCATTCATACAATATTTCCGGGCATAAAATATGTAAAAACTATAATAGATCTGTGGATATTTTTCTGTCTTTTTTTGTTTACGTGAATATATTTGAGACATATATATATATATATATATATATATATATATATATATATATATATATATATATATATTATAATTATTTTGCTCGATGCTTATCGAAATGTAAACAAATGAAGTCAGCAGATATCAATGCACGAGAAAAAATCATGGATAATTTTAGTTTAAAAACAGTAAAAATCGACATTGCTAACCGAAACGCTCCTCTGTGGCTAAATCGGTAAAGCACATGAGGCTCTATGACGGTTCTGTATAGGATACAGGTTCAATCCCTTTCCTTTCGGAGGACGCATATTTTCTATGAAGATTTATCATACATTCAGGCCGGTAAATGTCGTTAATACAGTGTTATTATAAACAGAGCATTTACTTAAGTATTTGTATCTATAAAACGAACGTATGAACAAAAAATGTCTTAAAATAATTATGTCTATTTATTTTAATTAAGTTCCTTTCATATCGTCTGATAAGCTTAATAACATTATCATTGAAAGAAGAAAGGAAATTACCATATTGATACATGTTTTAATCCTATCTAAACTTCGGCTTACATAAACCATTATCAAAGATGACAATTTCATGTCAATATATCAGACTATACAGCTATATACATAAAACAATTGAAACGTAACCTGAACAGAATAAACTACGAAATCTCCACAAATCTCCACAAATATATTTAAATGCTTATAATTGATAACAACGCCATTAGTTTATACCAACGGCTTCTCATACTTAATACTTTTCGTTTTCACTCTCACGTGATCTGGTGTGACGTCAAGGCAACGACAAATTCGTATACACGAATTTGTCGTTGCTTTGAAATTTTTTATGCAACAAAAACAAACTATCATTATTGTTTCGTCCGTGTATTGTTTGATATATTGAAACGTAATTGTCATCTTTGAAAATGGCTTATTTAAGCTTATGTTCCCTGTGTCGCGTCCATCCTACAAATCAACTATTCGCCCTTGCATGAAATACTGCTGCCATATATGGCCTGGAGCCCCTTCTTTTTGTCTCAAGGTCCTTGATAAAATCCAGAGATGGATATGCAATGTGTCTGGTCCTGATCTGGCATCTCGTCTTCAGTCGCACTCTCGTAGACGTGCCGTTGCCTCCGTCTGTCTTTTCTACAAATACTTTCACGGTAACTTCTCCGATGAGCTAATTTCGCTAGTTCCCAGATTGCATGAATTTAAGCGTTCTACTAGGCTGGCATCACAGTCCTACCCTTTCCCTGTTGAAACGGTTAAATGAGGCCGTCTCTTCTACTCCAATAGCTTCATGTCTCGTACCTCTCACCTGTGGAACTCCCGCCCCTTTTCCTGTTTCCCTGATAGCTATAATGTCCAACTATTCAATTGTAATGTCAACCAACGTCTCCAGTTGCCTTGATCTATACCCTATCCTTCTCTTCATCCTTTCCTCTATCATTCCTATTTGTTCTAGCTCTAACTCTCTGTAACCCCTTGCGTACCCCTACATGACATGATTTCAGTCCTAAAAACACTCTTATTGTCGATAATGTGCTATGACACAGTAATTCCGATTCAAAGCCAGTAATCATCAAATCAATGTACACGAAGTAAAATAAATTATTTTGTTTGGGAATAGAAGTTTACTTTGGCGCCCCAATACTGGTGTCGGGATCAATGATTGTTGGATGTTAGAACTAAATAAAGACAAACTTAAATACAACGAATTTGCAATATATAACAAGTAAATAAAGATAAAACTTAACAGAAGAGTTTAATTATTCAACAAGACAGAACATATCTTACAAATCTTATTAAAAGATCAGGAAAAAAAGGAGGCTTGCTAATTATATGCATTTCGGTAAGGTGCATTGAGAGGGAATAAATGCATTTTGTCAGAACAATAGTTCCTAGTGTATTTTTAAGCGAAACGAAAATAAAATATTAAATATTTTTATATAAAAGACGAAAATCATGACATTTCAGTTATAACTTTAATGTAGAAACATTTAAAATACATCATCTAAACACGAACTGTATGAAAAATACACGTTGAAATGCCACATGTGTGAAACAATGCATATGTCCATTATTTAGATTTTCGGACTATTATCCTCATCGTTGTCGTCATATTTATTACAACGTTTCGGCCGTTGTAAGCTCCGGCCTTCTTCTGGTGGATGGAATGTCGAACTAAACTCTTTATTTCTATCATTGGGGTAGACTAGTTTCAAGTGCCATGTGTGGATAAAGGCGTTAGTTACATCCTGTTACAGGACCCAAAGAGTGTGAGTCCAATATCCGGTTAAGGCAGTGGAGAACTTGGCGAGGGAAATTAACAAGAAGATAACTGATAACTGACATCCATTAAATATGGTACGTGGGACTAGAACAGTCTACCCCAGTGAGCGAAATAAAGTGTTGAGTTCGATATTCCAACCACCTGACGAAAGCCGGAGTGTACAACATTTAAGGAATAAAAATGATTTTCCTAGTTCGAAGTCATGCTATTTAACCCATATATGGAGGAAGGAAAATAGATTTTACAAGGGTACTTGCGAGTATGTGTACAAATCAATCCGATTGGCATTCGAAATCAACTCTATCCATATAACACCACATATACATTCGCCTCTAAATATCAAATTTAGTATAAGGTGAGATTAGGGATAGTTTCGCCCAATACCGCAAAAAGCAATAAAAACAAATCATGAATTTAAAAACTCGACACTTGACAAAATCCGACACTTGACAAAAAGAAAACGAAATAGGCAATAAAAACAAAAGTTGTATATGCAGAGACCCGACAGTTTTTCTCTCTACCCTTTGCTAAGATGGAATATGAGCGCAGAGCAGCGGTAGTAGCTTCTGTTCGCGTCGGGAAGAAGCCTGCGGAAGTGATGGTCTGGTTTTGGTTCGAGAGGACCATAGTCATGGACATTTGGAAGAAGTGAAAGGCGTGTGAGAACAAGGACGAGTTTACTGCCAAGCGAAAGGCCAACAACGTTAGTCCTTCGGATGTTAGGATCGACGAGTTCGTCGCCGCCGTCGAGGAGACTATGATGGAAGCCAGATTTACGCCAGGATCGCCATTGCTATGTACTGTCACAAGTCGATGATCTGTCGAACGAACAAGAAGGACATTGGTTACTGCTCCTACCGCAAGTCTCACCGCATGCTCACCACAAATGCCTCCAAGTAGTCGAGGAAGATCAAGGCGGCGGCTTTGCTGAAGGAGCACAAGAACGAGTCCGCCGGAATACTGAGGTTTTTCTCTGATGAAAAGAATTTCATCCAGGACCAGACGAGCAACAGGCAGAACGATAAGTGGATCTGCAAAGGCATCTAGGAGGTTCCCGTCGTGAAGCATACGAAGTCTCCCCCCCCCCCGTCACGTTCCTGGGCGTCATCTCCAGCGAGGGCGGGGGTGGGGGGGCGTCATGCCTCCGTTCTTCTTTCCAAAGGGCCGGGGAGTCACAGCTGAGATCTGCTAGGAGGTACTGAGGAGCGTGGTGAAATCCTGGATGATCGAGACCGCCGTCGGGTGCCCCTAAGTCTTCCAGCAGGACTCCGCTCCTGCACACAAAGCCAAGACGACCCCTTGGGTATTTTTCTGGGCCGTGATCGAGGTCAAGACCAGCAAGCACGCACGCAACACAGCCGACTCTCTGAAGGCTGCCATCGTGTAGACAAAGACATGGTCGCCAAAGCGTGTGACTGATTTCGCGCCCGCCTTGAGATGGTTGTCGCCGCTAGTGGTGGTTGCATTAAGAAATAATATAACATGTAACTCTAACTGTTGCTAAATAAACTGTCGTGTCTCTACATATACAACTTTTGTTTTTATTGCCTATTCGCTTTTCTTTTTGTCAAGTGTCGGATTTTGCTGCAACACCCTGTATACCTCTCTGTTTTTTTTTATTGTTACTTATGAATATACTCTTAACCGGAAGCAATGGTGACACGTCTATAAATGATCGAGGCCATGGCCAACAAGCACGCACACAACACGCCACTATGAACATAGTCGCCAAAGCGTGTGACTTATTTTCGCGCCCGCCTTGAGCTGGTCGTCGCCGCCAGCGATGGTTACATTGAAAAATAATATAGTATGTACTTGTAACTGTTGCTAAATAAAATGTCGGGTCTCTGCATATACAACTTTTTTTTTTATTGCCTTTTTCGTTTTCTTTCTGTCAAGTGTCAAATTTTGCTGCAACACCCTATACTTAAATATCTTCGTCAGATTAAGAATTTCATATGGATTTCATGTCTGGTGCCAAACCAGTTCAGAAATGTTTAACTTTTCATTTATATAAAATATCTTTCTTGAATCAACGGTTAAAAAAGACGTCCATAGAATAATATCTGTGGGTTTTAACAGGGAGAATACTTCTTCCAAACTCGCGGACCGGCGCTACTGAATCATAAACAAAGTACTGTGCTGAATAATAAAACTCACCTCAACTGTAGCAACTAAATTGAAACTCATATATAACTCAGAGAGTATAGGAACATATTTGGGATGCTAGTATTTTAAACTACGTCAAACTAAATATTATGAAAGAGACTCCCGTTAACAACAGGACTTCAGGAACCTATTTTCCTGGAAAATGTTTCAAGAGAATTTTTGTATGAATTTCAACTGGAAGTAGTGCTGTTCGCGCGGTCAATGAATACCGGGTATCTCCTTATTAGGAAATGGGTAGCGTTAACATTACTTTTGTCATTTGCTCTGAAGGAATAGATTTTTCCTATATTATTTACTCTTGAGATATAGTCATCAATGGAGTTAAAGTGAGGGGTTGTTTTCTTCATTTTTTTTCTTTTAACCCAATGTTCCTTCAGGACGAAATCGGTTCTGTTTCTCCACAAAAACTGCTCGTAGCATTCAATAACTCGAAAGCCAAGTTAATAACGTCCCAACATCATCGAGCAAACCAAGAACGTTCTCCAGTCATAATGAACTTTTGTACTCTTGATGAGTATCCTTCTTTTTAACATCTATTGACAAAAGACGTTAATCTCAAGATCTCAAGTGGAAATCCCCAAGATGTCAAGAGGAAATCATATATACGTTCAATCGGGAAAGAATCTGGAAGAAATAGTCGCTTAATTGTACCGATCCAGACAGTTCCTGATTACTCCTACCATGTTCTCTGTCTTTAGAAGAATTAAAACAGTCAAAAATAGATTCTTGCTGCCATATCTGGGTTGGAGTGTTTCATCCCCCTCTTTACTGCCTTGACATTCAAAAACTTTAAGCTTCTTTGTGGCTGATGAACTATTTTAAAATCTCCAACCTCTTTTCAGCAGACGAAAAATAACAGATGTTCTGTTTAGCTACATCTGTCTGTTCCACCAGTTCCGAACTTTGCAGAAGGTTCAATCATCCTCATGCTATCTAGCTTCCATTGGAAAGAAGGAACTTTCATCCGGGCAACTGATTGCAGAGAACTGCTACTTTTTGAAACAGATTTCCTTGATCCCTACAATCTTAAGTTCATTATGTCTAGAGGCAATCGTTATATATCCTACATATCCTCATAAGTTGCAGTTATTGCTTCATCTTACGTCCATACAACGACCATATTAACTCTTCATTTGGAAGCTCCCTTGGGTCTTGTGTTTTGTGAACATATAGTAATAAAAATTATTTTTCGGTTGTCTTCTTCGACATTTTCAATTAAGAATCGTTTCTCTCCTTGACTGGCTTCTATCCAAGTTCGCATAGCCATGTCTATCCTAGCTGAGAGATAGATTTGTTGTATATAAAATACAATTAGGGATAAAGGCCAAAATGGGGAGGGGTTGAGGCTGGTCAACACTAACTATCCTATACCTAGCTAATCTGATTCACGACCCATTCACACATTACAGTTTCCACATTCACCATAAAAACTCGTCCGTCACCAATCAATCCTCCATCCACCGTAATACCGCATCTTCTCAAGGGGAACCTACAAAACGCGCCCCTACTTAAAGATTTAACGATAATATATTATATATATATATATATATATATATATATATATATATATATATATATATACAATTCTAATAATGAAGAATGAGATGGGAGGAGATGAACCCAATAATAAACTAAAACTCAACACAAAGTAAACTAAACATAACTGATGTTAGTAGGGCCCGTCCTACCCTCAAAAAGGAGAAGCCGTTGTATTTTTCCCATTGGACAAAATCACGAAGGTATCTCATTACGGGAGTGGGAAAAGGATAAAAATAATACGAGCATGGGAAAATATAAAGCCGACCAAGTCGAGATGAAAAAAAGCGGCTGCAGGGGCAAAACAAACTGGGGAGGTTGGGAATCATCGACTTGAATCACAACCAAAGAGGCAGCAGGGATCAGGCCAGGACCAACACTTACTCACATTAACTAGGTACACAAAAGCTTGTCTAACCTAACCAAGGGGAGGGCTCTGCAGGAAACCACCTCCAATGTGACGTAGGTTGACCTAAAAGAGAAAACCAAGGCTTGCCCCGTTCAAATGAATCAAGTTCGCCTCTTTCACCCAACTTTCGCTGAGAGAAGGGGAAATGGAATCCTGCTTTTATCAAAAACATTTGTGCGAAGAAGTCACAAGAATCTAAACAGAAAATCGAACTTTCTTTTGCACTGATGACCGATAAGTCATGCCATGTCTTCTTAAATCTGCAATAATCTTGTATTTTGGCATATTTTATTGATTTACGGTATTCTGAGTTTTAGTAACCATTCTTTGGATTTTCGGCTTTTGTGCGATTCTTTTGGACTATAGCAAGAATTATGGACACCATTGTCACTTCAATATCTCGACGTTTCTTTCGGTTCCTTAGATTCTTATGTGCTAGAAAATAAACAAAAACCATTTCGTACAAATTCTTTGCCTACCTGCGAATAAATCTTCCTGCTTGTTTTGGATTGGCTGATGTGTTACCAAGTAATTTACTTTCTTTTTTTTTCTCTTGTTCGGTAGGAGCCAAGGTATTTGCAAATATCTCAATTCTAACTCACATTAATCATTCCATTATTTTTTTTTATATTTCCCGTGGCCCCAGATTCTTCCGTATGCTTATTTGTCTTACCTTTTATGAATCTTTATACATTGTGTCCATAAAGTTCGTGTTCACTTTAAAAAAATTATAACTTTATTTGTATTTGCGATAGAAATAATATGTAAAAAATGTTATGAAGTTTAATGTACCCTTTTTTAAGTATAGTTAAAATAACTAATGTTTTCCGTGAACTGCAAAATCGTATTACCCTTTGATTTACTAATGATGGAGGACATATATATTTATATCGCAAATAAAATAAAGTTATAAATTTTAAAAGTTCACACCCTGTATTTACAGTATTTGGCAACATTCGCTACTAAATAATTTTTAATAATTTTAGTCACTGTTTTATTTATTAGTAATTATAGTTTTCTCATACTTATATGTACTTTTCAAGAATATTTACAAAAAATTAAAAGTTGTATATGCAGAGACCCGACAGTTTATTTAGCAACAGTTAGAGTTACATACTACATTATTTATCAATGTAACCGCCGGCGGCGGCGACGACCATCTCAAGGCGGGCGCGTAAATGAGTTACACACTTTGTCGACCATGTCCGGCGTGTTGTGGGCGTGCTTGTTGGTCTTGGCCTCGATCATTTATAGACGTGTCACCATTGCATCCGGTTAAGAGTATATTCATAAGTTACAATGAAATAAAAGAGAGAGGTATACAGGGTGTTGCAACAAAATCCGACTCTTGACAAAAAGAAAAGCGAATAGGCAATAAAAACAAAAGTTGTATATGCAGAGACTCGACAGTTTATTTAGCAACAGTTAGAGTTACATACTACATTATTTTTCAATGTAATCGCCACTGGCGGCGACGACCATCTCAAGGCGGGCTCGAAATGACTCACACGCTTTGGTGACGATGTCCTTGTCCAAAGCGGCGAACGCCTACACGATGGCCGCCTTCAGAGAGTCGACCATGCTGTGGAAGTGATTGTTGGTCTTGGCCTCGATCACGCCGCAGAAGAAATGGTTAAAGTGGGTTGCAGTCGGGTGAGGAGGACTGCCACAAGTCCGGCAAGCAGTGGTGAGGAACATTGTTGAGCAGTCACGCCTGGGTCGCCTTGGCCTTGTGTGCAGGAGCGGAGTCCTGCTGGAAGACGTAGGGGCTTCCTGGCAGTTCTCATCGATGACTCTCATGCCCTTTTGAAAGACGAACGGTGACATAATGTCCCCCTCGATGGAGATGACGCCAAAGACTATGACGAAGGAGGGAAACTTCGTATGTTTCACGACGGGAACCTCCTCGATGTCTTTGCAGATCCACCTGTCGTTCTGCCTGTTGTTTGTCTGGTCCTGGATGAAATTCCATTCATCAGAGAAGAACCTCGGAGCCTTATCATCAGTTCTCAGGTAGCCTTATTTCTTTATTTGCTTTTTAACTATGCTGAATTGTTGTATAATATCAGTCCCCCTACATGCGAGTTTATGGTAGATAATCTTCTCATAGATGAAGACGAGACGTGAAACAACAGAATTGTGGTTCGACAGAACAATTCT